TATCTTTACTCTTTACTCTTTACTCTTTACTCTTTACTCTTTACTCTTTACTCTTTACTCTTTACTACTTATATCTTTACTCTTTACTCTTTAACTCTTATCTCTTTACTCTTTCTCTTTACTCTTTACTCTTTACTCTTTACTCTTATTACTCTTTACTCTTGACTCTTTACTCTTTACTCTTTACTCTTTACTCCTTTACTCTTTACTCTTTAATCTTTACTCTGATTACTACTTTACTCTTTACTCTTAACTCTTAACTCTTAACTCTTAACTCTTAACTCTTAACTCTTAACTGCTTAACTCTAACTCTTAACTCTTAACTCTAACTCTTTACTTCTTTATCATTTACTCTTTACTCTTTACTCTTTACTCCTTTACTCTTTACTCTTTACTCTTTACTCTTACTCTTTACTCTTTCACCTCTTTATCTTTACTTTTACTCTTTTACTCTTTACTCTTTACTCTTTACGTCTTTACTCTTTACTTCTACTTCTTTACTCTTTACTATTTACTCTTCTTACTCTTTATCTTATACTCTTTACTCTTTACTCTTTTACTCTTTTACTCTTAACTCTTAACTCTATAACTTTAACTCTTAACTCTTAACTCTTAAACTCTTTAACTTCTTTACTCTCATACTCTTTACTCTTTTACTACTTTACTCTTTTACTCTTTACTCTATTACTCTTTACTCTTTACTCTTAACTCTTACTCTTAACTACTTAACTCTTAACTCTTAACTCTATAACTCATTAAACTCTAACTCTATAACTCTTACTCCTTAACTCTTAACTTCTTAACTCATTAACTCTTAACTTTAACTTCATTAACTCTTAACTCTTAACTCTTAACTCTTACTCTTAACTCTTAAATCTTAACTCTTAACTTCTTAACTCTTAACTCTTAACTCTTAACTCGTAACTCATTAATCTTAACTCTTTACTCTTTACTCTTTACTTTTAATGGGGTTCCACACAGGGTCTGGGGAGGTGGGGTTCCACACATGGTCTGGGGAGGTGGGGTTCCACACATGTCAAGTACATGCATGACCTGGAGAGGTGGGGTTCCACACAAAGCCTGGGGAGTTGGGGTTCCACACATGGTCTGGGGAGTTGGGGTTCCACACTGGACCTGGCTGGGGGTTAGGCTTCCATACAGGGCCTAGGCAGCAGGATCCGGGTACATTTACTGTTCACACGGTAAAGTTTTGGCTTGAGCTAAATGGGCTAAATTTGGCTCAGGCTAAATTTGGCTCGGGTCGGTTTGAGTCGGAGCGTTCACACGTACGCAAGTGAATACTGTCTGTCAAATTCAAATTCAAATTCAAATAAATTTTATTGCACAAATATCTCACAGATACTTTGGCAGTATGTTTCGAGATGGCGTTGTGTACGATTCAGTGTTTACTTCCGTTCCAAGTTCAATTATCAATCTTGAAAACATGCATCCTGATCAAATTTTTCGAATTTTTATACTGTTTTGGACTTTATTTCGGCGAAGTACACGTTCGACACTCGTGGCATCTACCGCTCTACCGATTTAGCTGGTGCTAAAATTTGGCTCGGGCCTGGTCAGACGTTTTCGATAGGGCCAAATTGGCTCGTGCTAACTCGGCATGGCCCCGAAAAACCGTCCGTGTGAACGCTCGGCTCGAGCCAAATTTGGCGTGGGCCTAATTAGGCTCGGGCTAAAAATGTCCGTGTGAACGCGCCTATAGCGGTGGGGTTGGGGGGCTTGATCGACATACTTCAGGAGTGGATAATAGAGGTCTCTATTATCCACTCCTGATACTTATAGTATCTGCATGGACACGGGAAAAGCTTTAAATGGTTTAGTTACATGTAAATAGCTGTGTATATGTTGTGTGTGTGTGAGCGAGAGTTGTATATGTCTGTATGTGTGTGTGTGTGTGCATTTCTGACATATGCATAGATCTCCTCTACTGTCAGGATTTTCCGTACGAAGTCATCGTCTCCAACTTTGAAGAAGATCTAGATAAGGCTGCCTTTCATAAGCCAGCTCACTACTGCGTCGAGTCGGCAAGCAGAAAGGCATTGGATGTTGCCCGAACACTCACAGATGATGAGGTGTGCCTCAGGCGTAGTTACTCAAGTTTGTTTACTACATCTTCGCTTGAGAGCTGTCTAGTCGACATCTTTTGCGGCTGTTGAGCAGCCCGTCAGCAAGTATAATGCCAAAATGTTGGATACGTACATTTTTTGACGGCCTACAATTTCGTCTGTAAGTCTCTACACCCTAATACAGTGATTCTTCTTATTGCAGCAAGCATATGGGTAAAGCAATTCATACCTTGTGTTTCGGTTATGTGGTAAACTTCTATTTTGCAAGCAGTAGTGTGACACTAAGCTAAAGTCTCCCACACTTACTGTATTGTCATGTACAACACCTTGTGATTTGCAGAGAATGCCGGATCTCGTGATTGGTGCAGATACTGTGGTTGCCATGGACGACCAGATATACGAGAAACCGGGCAGTCGCACTGAGGCTATCGACATGCTCACTAAGTATAACTATCTCTCACACTGCCTCTCCTTCACTCATTCATCACATAGCATATACGCAGGGTTTCTTATACATAAGAGGCGCAGTGGCGCAATGCCGTTGTAGAATTTAACATCGCTGTTGTAACATGCAGTCTAAGATGTTCAAATTTTTGAAATTTTCTTGGGGGAGACCCCTCCAAGTGAAAGGGGGAGTTCCCTCTTCCTCTCTCTCCCCACGTCCGCCTGCAGCGTCCGCATACATGCCTATGGCACGCCTTTGAAACCATCATGAACGTTTTTTCCCCAAACTGGCCATTACCTCCTTTGTCGAATTTTTCCTCAGAAGAAACCTGAAGAAAGAAGAATTATATGCCATGATTATGATGATTGCTCATTGTTGTAGCAGGTTGAGCATCATGTGCTAGTCCATGAATCGATCACTAAGGTATTTACCGTCGATGACGAGAACTGTTGTGTGTTCGACACGTAGCGCTTTCATATAATTCAATATCTTGCTTCGTGACTTGCACTTCAGTGTGTTTGTTTCAGGCTTGTTGCTGGTAAGAGTCACACGGTTTACACTGGAGTTGCATTGGTTACACATAAACCTGGTATGATGCCATGTTGAATGAATCCTCGGTGTTGTGTGCATAATATTACTATCATCTTGATATAGAGTATATGCATCCAGAATTCACTTTTTATTTTTACTTTATGTCAGTCCTTTTTATGACTATTAGCCTACTAGCAATTTAAATCAAGCTGGAATTCTGCTTTATGGTGTTTTCTAAAAAAAAAAGCTGCACTAAAGCTATATTTATTAATTAAACCATATCTTTACAGCTGCATTCCGCTCAATTGATGGATCTAATCAAATTAGTGTTCTATTTAATAATTTAGTGCATAAAAAATAGATCAGCTAGACTCAACAAAAGAGCTGCCCTTTTCAAATTTTGTTTTCAGTTTACGTTTCAATGGTTACATAAATGGAACGTGGCATGTGTTGCAGTTGTATGCGAAGTAATATTTACACAGTGACTCGAATTCTGTGCGTGAATTTTGTGTATGTTTAAGTAAATGTTTGAAGAATCGAACCTGTCAGTTTGCGTACATCATTCCGAATTGTATTTTTTAAGGAACTGGGCTTATTTTGGCTAAACATGGCATTTCGGGGGATATTTTTCGGTCGCAATTAACAAATGGTAGGACATGCAAACGTTTAGAACTGCTGCTTATCCGGGGAATGGAGTTTGTGAAATAGGGATGCGAAATACAAAGATTTTCAGTTTGTGTGCATTCGTTGCTGAACCAGTGTCCTTTTCCTTCGCCGGCAGAGTTTCGGCACGTCTTGAACGTGCATTCATTCTCGGAGCGCACTAGAGTCTTCATGGCAGACTTGAGTCCAGCAGTGATCGCTGCATACGTCGATACTGGTGAATCAATGTAAGCATCGGCCTTACTCATAGCATTTAACCAATACAAATTGGTCCCTGCCATAATGATATTATATTGTTGAGTGTACTGTTTGCTTCATGGGCCAATTTCTCTCAGTATCGAGTGTCAACGAAAGAACAACGATCGGTTACGTGATAAAATGTGACGATCATGTCAATTTAATTCTCATTCTCCACTCCTAACTTGTCATAGTAGGGCTGTTGAACAAACGTTTTAATCATTGCATCCTTTGTAGGGACAAGGCAGGTGGCTATGGCATCCAGGGTAAAGGGGGATCGCTAATCAAGGCCGTTGAAGGAGACTATTTCAATGTCATGGGGTTTCCGCTGCACCGATTCTGTACAGAACTCATCAAACTCTACACAGATCTTGGAGTTTTTTGAGACATCATGCAGTAACAGTAGGAGTGTTTAATATAGATATCTATACTATACACTCATTAAATAAGTTCATTCGGTTGGTAGAATAATAGATCTATCTGGGTTATCTGTTACTCAACCGTGAAGATTTGCTCAGAGAAGAGAAGTCAGCTTTGAGAAAGCCTCCTGATAGCAGGCGAAACGTCAGCTGTACGTTTTCAATCTTTACGGTTGAGTAACAATTAACCCAGATAGATCTATTTTATACACTCCTAGTAACAGTGGGTTATTTATAAGGAACACAGATGGCTCCTAATTTACATCATGGCTGTGATGTTCCAGAAATTGGTCTCAGAAATCACTCAATGTATAATTATGCTAGTGATCAAGCGGTTAGATCCTTACACAGTTTTCCAGCAGTGTGCGTGTACAAGGAAGTGAGAAAGCGTGGAATATCAGCACAAAATATTGTAGAGTTCCTGTGTAAGTCTAACAAGAAATATGCTGTGTTTGTCCAATATGTCAAGTATATAAGTAAATTGAACGATTAATTGCCACTAGATGTCAGCACAACTGAATGCCTAAATAAATGGCGATATTGTGATTTTGTGATAACTATGCAATTTGCATGAACTTTGCTTATATTAGGCGGAGAACGTTTTGCGTGATAAAAACGAGTTCAAATATTTCCCAAAATGTATTTCTCAGTGACTAAATAGTGGTGTGTGTTTGTATGTAGTTTGTAAATAAATAAATAAGCTTGTGTGTGCGCGTGCATGCGCGTGTGCGCGCACGTGTGTACAGTAGAACCTCGATAATTTAGCATTGTTTTACTACATAGTCTGCATACTATATTGCACAGTGTACAGTGTTGTACTGCATGGAGACTCCTTTGCCTAAACCCTAATGTTGCTTTCTGTCTCAGGGTCTCTCTCTCTCTCTCTCTCTCTCTCTCTCTCTCTCTCTCTCTCTCTCTCTCTCTCTCCGCCGCTCGTCTCTCTCTCTCTCTCTCTCTCTCTCTCTCTTCTCTCTCTCTCTCTCTCTCTCTCTCTCTCTCTCTCTCTCTCTCTCTACTCTCTCTCTCTCTCTCTCTCTCTCTCTCTCTCTCTCTCTCTCTCTCTCTCTCTCTCTCTCTCTCTCTCTGCTTTCTCTCTCTCTCTCTCTGCTTTCTCTCTCTCTTGGTATTACACTCCAAAATCAGATAACCGTCGCTCAGGCAGGTTAGGTTATTAGATCTTTGGCCAATGTCTACAAACGCTATGAATTTTATCTTGCGAACGACAGAAACTGTCCGGGGTTTCAAGTTATGGTGAACTAAGCTTGCTCTATTCGCTGGGATGGCTGGCTCTTTCTGTGCATGCGTGTGGCGGCCTAATAAATTATGCGTGAAACCGACTTTTCAGTGTAAAATCACGTAATTTACCCATTTCGCGTGTTTCGCGAGAATCACGTTTACAGAAAAAATGATGGAAGAATATTTGCGTTAACCAAAAAATTATGCTGTGCCTTAGAATCTTGCGTCGGCGGGTGAAATTAAAATTTATCAAAGTAATGCTGGTTGATTCATTAATTATGTGCGCTGTGCAGAGAAAACTCTCGCTCAACGCGGTCAGTAGCCACCGTTTTACATCCAGCGAGCGGGCTCCCACTGCATATAGCGGTCACTCGCCCCCACCCCGAGCGGGCTCCTACTGCATATAGCGGTCACTCTCCCCCCCCTCCCCAGAACGATCGCTAGGTCAACCGCTAGGCTGTTTCACAGACAGACCTTTCAGCTTTCACGCATTGAGCCCGCTACTCACGCTGTTATATTAAGCTATGGATCTCTCTCGCATTTCAGACACGTAAACAGAAATAATGGTTATACGCAAACGACCGTATAGCCGGCCTGTTCTGCTAGCATCTATGACAAATACGACATACGCATATACGCTCTCCTATGACACTATTGTTGCATGTGTTGTGCGCATCATAGGAGTTTAGGAGCGCAAATTTGTCATTATTCACCCTTGAATAATGATCAATCAATCAATCAATCAATGATCAATCTATTAATGAACAATCAATTAATAAATCGATCAGTAATGCACCAGATTGCGGCGTTTCACGTCTAGGTGTATAAAATATCGGGTACACTTTCCCCCGTATACCTTGTTATAGCACACGCCGTGTTTCACTCTGCTTTGTCAAGCCTTGCGTGTCAACAAATCTCGCGCACCTGAACACTCGTAACTTGAGAGGCCTTCACAGAGGAGTATGGCGACGTGCGTACACGCGTTACCTGCCAGCCTGATTAGCGTGCTCGTGTTTTTCACAGGTGTCGGCACCTTTGATCTTACCTGCACGCGCACCTGCCGAATATATCATCATCAGTGACAACTACCCTATTTGTTTCGATGTGTGTTGTGTACCGCTAACGAATTGGTTGAAGCATCGTTAATAAATCTATTCATACGCAAATGATAACGATTGATGACCACAAAAAGCGGCCTATAAATAGAATGCACTCGAGGTTACAGCTAGTAGGCAGTTACTATCAGGCTACTATCAGACATTAGTTGCTAGGTCGAGTGTAGTGTAGTGACCCGAGAAGAAGACGACAATCAGACATTTGACATGTTGTTCATAAACACGTAAACCTACAATGCTACAGAAATTACTGCATACTCTAGAAGAAACAGAGCGATATATATATATATATATATATATATATATATATATATATATATATATATATGTCTATATATATATATATAAATACAGTCGCGTAGGCCAGTTGGCCTCCGGCGCGTTCATCAAAGCGTAAAGAGAACTAGTTTTGCGTGGTAGTGATGACCTAGACTCCCTAGAGAGTCGACCTGCGCTCAACTTCCCCCTGCCTGCCTGCATCACACAGCACAACTATAGCTATAGCGGTATGTGCAGCCCCACTGCGCTCACCTCACACACACGCTAAACCACGACAGGCGAAAATGTGAGTGAATCTAGCATGCGACGTGAGAATACACTCTGACCGTGCCGTAACACGCACTGACCGTGCCGTAACACGCACGGCTGTTCCGTGACTGACGACAGGGGGTCCGCGCACCATGCCGAGGAGCGGTAGACACGCAGACGTTGTGTTGACATCGACGGCGTTTGTCGATGAGTATCGTCAGTAGCAGCAGCTCGTACCTGATCGCTCACCAGTACTGTGAAGATGACGTCAGCGATGGATGGATGGGTGACGTAATCACGTGTGTTTCTTCGCGTGCGTGCTTGCGTGTGCGTGCGCGTGCGTGCGTGCGTGTGTGTCCCGTAGCTCGCGGCGTCCGGCTAGGGCAGGCACCGTGATGTGCGATGCGAGAATGACAGGTAGTGATGACGAGCGATACGGCGCCATATTTGGGTCATACGGTTTTTGTATATAGTCGGACGCCATATTTGGGTCATCGGTGTGTCTCCTGTGCCGGACGTCGTGGATCTTGACGCGATCGGCGCACCATCTATGTTCGCCCGATGAACGTCTGCTAGGATGACGATGCGCTCTCGTGTCTGACTACTGCTGTGGTCGTCACAGCCACTGCTTGCTATCACACGAACCAGCTGTAGGATATATTATACATCGTAGCTATAGCAGTCGACGTGTTATCACGGACATGTGTGTTAGTAAGCGCTGTGTGGCGGCCGCTCGGCAGCGCCACCGTCTGCTGTGTCTGACCGCCATGTTGCTATGCTGCGTCGCCTGGTTACTGCTGCTGCGCTGGCAGAGCCGGCATCTACACCAGGTGGCGCATGACGGCGTCGCTCCAGCCGACGTCGGGAGAGGTGATATCTCATCGTCTGCCGTTCCGCGTTATAATCCGATTGTGGCGCCGCGAAGGATGGAGTCCGGATTGAGCGAAGTGCTCGGGTACGATGGCGGAGCGTACGGTCACTCCGTGACGTCACCGCCGAGCAGAGATCGCAGTAAAACGCGGAGGCGAGGCGATTTCATTGTCGAGTACGGCGTCTTCAACGCCAGCAGACGATACGGCTACAACGACACCGTCACCATAGCAACGCAGTGCACGGTCGATTACCTACACCACCTCTCCGCCATGATGGTTCGATGGGAGGGATCCGTGTCGGTGGCAGTCTACGCGCCGTCACGTGACTACCACGTGGCGAAGCTCGCGATCGCGCGCATGCGCGAGTGCAGCGCCGCCATCTTGGAACGCGCGACCTTCCACCTGTTCTACCACGACCAGTACCGCCCCCTAACGTCGCCGTCGCCGTCGTCGTCGTCCAGGCGGCGGCGCTGCGGCGAGGCGGTGGCGACGTCGTACGTGAGAGAGCGGCCGCTGCGCTACCCCATCAGCGTGGCGCGAAACGTGGCGCGGGTCGGCGCCGACTCCCACTTCGTTCTCACCGTAGACATCGAGTTCCTGCCGTCGGCCCGCCTTATGTCCCGCTTCGTCGCGATGGTTCGGGAGGAGGTGCGGCGGCAGGGAGAAGGTTACCTGAGGAGGAAGGTCGTCTACGCGATACCCGTGTTCGAGGTGAAGCGCACGGTGACGTCGGCGCCGACGAGCAAGCGCCACCTGGTGAGACTGCTGGGGTCTGGAGATGCGATTGTCTTTCATCAGCATAAGTGTTGGGCGTGTCAGCGCATACACGGCTTCGAGGCATGGATGCGGCTCAACTCATCGCAGGTGCTGGAACCCTTTATATAATACACACACGCGCGCGCGCGCATATATACACACGCACGCGCACATACACGAACGAGCGCGCGCACATATACACACACACACGCGCGCACACATACAAGAACAGGCGCGCGCACACAAACATGCGCGCGCACATACTCACACACGTAAGCGCACATACACGCACGAGCGCGCACACATAAAACAGACGCACGCGCGCGCGCGCACACACACACACACACACACACACACACACACACACACACACACACATACACACGCACGCGTGCACACATACACACAGGCGCGCACATACACATACACACACAGGCGCGCACATACACATACACACACAGGCGCACACATACACATACACACACATGCGCGCACATACACATACACACACAGGCGTGCACATACACATACACACACAGGCGCGCACATACAGATACGCGCACATACACATACACACACAGGCGCGCACATACACATACACATACACACACAGGCGCGCACACACAGATACGCGCATATACACATACACACACAGGCGGGCACATACACATACACATACACACACAGGCGCGCACACACACATACACACACAGGCGCGCACATACACATACACACACAGGCGCGCACATACACATACACACACATGCGCGCACACACACATACACACACACATACGCGCACATACACATACACACACAG